GACAACTATAAACGCAACGCCAATAACTACGATGGATATATATGCAGAATAAAATTTAAAAACAGTAAAAGCAGTGATATCAAACTAATCAGATGGCCTTGAATGCTCCATATCCTTCTCTGGAGGGAAGGAGACGGGCTTGAGGGCCAGACTGTTGCTGCCCTCAGCCGTAGGTCTGGCAGAACAGCTCTGCCTTACAGGCTTTGCGGAACGGAATTAGGTCCCGCAGGGCCTGGATGTCATTAGGCAGAAGGTGGAGGAAGCCACAAAAATTCTCCCTCCCACACAACCCATTTGACAGTTACGCTTTGACTTGCAAAATCACATTTTTGTGACAAAAGACCTGAAGTGGATGGTGTCCCACATTCTGCAGAGAAATCCCATCCACAGGGCCTCTCGTTTCAAGCATACCAACATTCTTAATTTGGGGGGGAGGGGGGGCAGTGCAGCTAGAATTTGGACCACAACATTGCAACGGACAGGAAACTGATTCAAATATAAAAAGGCCACGCAGATTAAGAACGAAAAGAGGTTTTTATACCCCGCTTTTCTCTACCTGAAGTAGTCTCAAAGCAGCTTACAATGGCCTTTCCCACCAACAGGCACCTTGTGAGGTAGGTGGGCCTGAGAGAGTTCTGAGAGAACTGTAAATGACCCAAGGTCACCCAGCAGGCTTCACGTGGAGGGAAAAGTGGGAAATCAAACCCCAGATTGGAGTCCAACACTCTTAACCACTATTTATAGAATTGGTTTTCCCTTCAGCTACTTTTATCCTATGGATCTGAACAAGCCAAAGGGCTAATTAAACAAAGTTGAGGTTATTGAGTGACAATCGGATATCACTAAGGTTTCAAAACTCGGGTTGTTGCTAAATATCAAAAGCACCATTGAGCCGGCTACATGTTTTACTTCAGTGGAGGGAAAGAACTCTAGAAGGGCATTTGCCCTAGCTAGATGTTCTGCCCTTCCATCGGCAATTAATCAAGGCAGGTACAATAAAATCCCCTATCCTGAAAGGCTATGTTCATGCCTTCCATGCGAGGTTGAATCGGTAGAGCACATGTTTTTTCAATTGCCCATTCTACAGAGAGACCCATTAGTTGATAGGATTACATTAATACAAATGGTCACATTAATACAAATAAAGGAAGGCGTCACTGGCTTCTATCAGATAAGAATGCAGAGATTACACATTCAGTTGTTGAGTTTTGTGCATTGATTCCTAGCTTGTGGGAGTCACGTTTTAAAAGTTTTTAAATTTAGATTTTTACTCTGTATATTATCTCTGTTTTTCTCTATTTCTCATATTATGTTTATATTGTACGCTGGTCTTAAGACTGTAATAATAAAACTAAACTCTTAACCACTATACCAAGCCGCTTCTCAACTCACAAATCGCATCAAGAATTTGGATGAATACGCACAGACCAGGATGGGAAGCATGGAACTTAAATGTTGGGCACAGAGGTCAAGGTATTGGGAAGCCCATGACCCTTTCTAGTGCAACTTATAAACATGGCAGAAGTGGTGAATGCTGGATAAAGCATCTGGTGTTCAGAGGGCGGAACCTTCCTCTTCTGCATTCCAAATTTAAGAAATGGCATCAACACAAAATAAAAAGAAACCAGGATGTCCCCAGCTTATAGAAGCCACAGGCCCCGGTCACACCGCAGGAAAAGCCGGGGCTTTTTAGAGCCGCAGCAAAAGAGAAGCGCGGCAGAGTGATCAGACAGATCCCCCGAGCCACCGTACATATGCTCCCCAGCGTGATCAAATGCAAGGGGGAAGCTACAAACAGGAGAGTGAGGTAAGTCAGCTGCGCATGTGTGCGCCTGCACAGTTCGACAGGGGGCCTCGCATGCTGCGGGAGACGGGCGTGTCGGCAATCACACGGCCGCCCGTGCCGCTTTGCAGGGGTTTTACTCCGCATCTTCGGCCGGAAGGGACGGGTTGGGGGCGGGTGCGCGACGCTTGCCAGATGTTGTCATCTGATCGTGCCGGTTTAATCCGCCCTCAATCCGTCCGTTCTGCGGGGCAATTCCTCCCATGTGACTTTCCTGGCACAGTGCCTGTTTGCTCCCCCACTAGCCCAAAATGCCACTGATCTGTGGATAAGGAAGATCTGTGGATAAGACAGTCCCCCCACCCCCCTCCACAAAAAACAAAAGAACTGTGGTGAAATTAACTTTATTTAGTGTGATACACAGCTGTAATCTGACAGTCAATATCCATATATTAAGAGTCACTTACTTGGCTAACAGCTAGGAGACAGCAGCGCCAGAGACACACACTCAAATATTATACACATCCACGGAGAAGGCAGTGGAAACGTGAACTGTACCGTTCACCAGATTCCTTTTTTCCTCCCTGCCTGCCCCCCCATCCCTCCCCACAAACATTTATGCTTAATTTTTTTTAAACCCCTATTCTCTGGAAAAGAGACACATTTCCAGTGTGTCTTGTGAGAACACCACAACAGCCATGGCAGGACCGGGCTGCCAGCGAGAAAGGGAGACAGGGCACCAGGTCGACTGCAGAGAAAAAGAAACAAGACACACCGACAGGACATCAGCAATTCCCAAAGAACAGGGAGGATATCTACACAGGAGGCGGGGGGGGGGGGCTGTGTTTTCAAAACTGACCGGGCCAAGTTTGTATAGGACTGCCGAGTCTGACGGAAAGGCTCCTGGGAAGGACACAACACAAAACCTTTTGAATATGGGGTGCCTGAGCACTCAAAACATTAAATTGTGGTGTGTGTGTGTGTGTGTGTGTCAGAAGAACACATGTGTCCCTGATGGCTGGCTTTTAGTGGCCAAGAACAAAGTGAGATGTGAGCGGAGAGTTCTTTTTTCCTAGCTCAAAAACCGCCCTACGCATCCAAGATGCAGCAAACCAAAACTTAATGCTCCAATCCCAGAAGAATTTTAAGCAACATGGACACTAATTTGTTTCCGGCTGTGAACCCTGCTGGTGTGCTCAGATTCCTAAATCAAGGTGGAGTAGGGGCCACATGTGTACGATCACGCAGGCACAATCCCAGTTACCACCATCTTTCCCTCTTCCAACCGATGGATTACAGGAAGTGGGTAGTACCTGAAGAAGCCCAATGCAGGCGTTAGGTAGTAACGAATGTACCTGTGAGCCCAGATGCTGTCACATGCATGAGAATCGCAGACTGGTCACCAGGAGCACAGGACCCAAATCTAGGGCTCTTTTTGTAGCAGGAACTCTTTTGCATATTAGGCGACACACCCCTAATGTAGCCAATCCTCCAAGAGCTGACAAAGCTCTTCTTACAGGGGCTACTGTCAGCTCTTGGAGGATTGGCTACATTAGGGATGTGTCGCCTAATATGCAAAGGAGTTCCTGCTACAAAAAGAGCCCCTCATCTCAGCAGGCCAGGAGTAAGAACTGGTATCCCCTAACCACAAGGGGACGAACAAGACTATGCACACCTGGATATATTGGCTTCTTTTTCTCTCCAGCTAAAAGCAGTAGAGATTTGTGTGTATGTGTGTAGTGTTAACACATTCAAAATGCAGCCATGGGATTCACGAAGGACCTCCCCTCCTCATTCTGCATCATGTCACATTGCACCTGGAAGGTTTTTTGCAGTTGTCGGTGCTTTAATAATGAAAAAAAAGCCAACAAGTAAAGTTCCCACCTCATCCAGTACGGATGAAGCGCACTTGTTGAACTCCTCCCTGCTCCATGGTTGTTACAGGGATAGGAGCCTGTCAAATAAGTTGAAAACTTTATTAAGCTGGAAACGAGGGGGAAAGGGGCATTCACAAGGAAACAAATCCTTAGTGGGCCAACTCGGGGAAGGGGGGGAATGAACCACCCATGTACCCGAACAGCAAATTGTTGAGAAAAGAGAACCGGGGTGGGGGGTGTGTGTGTCCAGCTAACATATCTCAAGGGCTAAGACCTGCCCACCCCCACCGCTGGAGCCAAGGGCAGCAATCTGCTCCTGACACCCCAGAGCCCCCACTCCTTTGCCAGAATCAAGCTATGCCTTGTAGTTACGTCTAGACTGGGCACCAAATGCCTTCCGGCTAAGGGGCAGGACTCCCATGCGCACACACAAGAATGAAGGGTCTTCGAAGGCAACCGCAGAACTACAGGGTTAAGGGCGCACCTGAGGCTTCAAGTTTTTGGCTTTGAACACAAACGAAATATACTGCAAACCGAACAAAATGGGGGTATTCGTCCGAGGAGGACCGGGAAAGGTAATCCAAAGTCACCCCTCTCCAAGATCAGCTTGCACAGTAGTGCAAACTTGCATCAGCAGCAAAGAAGAGGTATTTGAAAATATATTCTGTGCTAACCCGCAAGTTCACTAAATAGCTTCTTCCTTTAACAACTTGAGATACACAAGTAGTTTGTACACAGAAGCAGTAGACAGACAAGGATTAAAGTCACCTTCCAGGGCGTATTAAGGAAAAACGGAACCAGGTCTGGATTTGTTTGCTTAGATCTTGGGGACTGGTCAACAGCAGGTTTGGAAAAAAGATAAGCGGAAAAGACCTTTACACCCAGAGGCTGAACCAAAGCAAGCTCTGATCAGGGTTCTTCCTACACCCGACGTGGACCCGCCCAGATGGCTGCTGGGAAAGGACTCCCAAGGCGCCCCCCCCCATGAAATAAAAGGGTTAACAGGGAATTATGTCTTTCCAGCGCCGTAGCAAGCATGAAGGTAACTGTAAAGCACGTTGCATATTAAGACTGCCATATAAATGATAAGATTATACAAAAATAAGAGCTCCTGGCATTGGGCCAAGTCCATTTTACAGGCCCCTGTTTAATCCAGATTACAAGTGCAGCTCTTAGATTTGCCTAGAAAAAGATCTTTTTGAGTTAGGGGAAGGGGGAGTGTGAGGAGAAGGAGAAGACAGACATCACAGGAAAGGACTGGAGGTGCCAAAAAGATGCTTGAGAATACCGTCTTCGGGCGGGAATTCCTCTTTGCGGGCGCGCCCCCCCCCCCCGCGACCCCCCAGTCTGCCAGGGTGAGCAGGTACCAAGGCTCCCTACTACAGTCAGCCCAACTTTGGCTATCTTCTCTAATCACGTTTAACAGTAAACCGAGCACCGTCTTTCAGGAAAAGAGCTGACAACCTTCAACGTAACACGGCCACTGGTTCTGCAGAGGTCTAGGGCAACTTGGGAAATGGAAATAGCAAATGCCAGGATGAGATAATCCAAGATTCTTCCCTGTACTCCATGAAGAAAGAACAAAAGGGAAGGCAGCAAGGGGTAAGGGCACCCGGCAGGAAACCCATCTCCCTGGAGTCCTTCCGCACCCTCAAAAGTGGCGGGGCCACACCGAGCCAAGGGAGCGGCCTCCGGGAGGGGGAATGAACGGAAAGCAGCCACGAAGCAGGCCCCTCCCCCCGCCCCACCTGGCTCCACTACCTCCCTTTGCCGTTAGGTTTATCGGTGTCTTCCTAACTCGGGGAAAGCTCCTCCCCTTCTGCATTCATAGGACAACACATCTTAGGCATGCGCGCCCAAGGTAGGAAACTGAGAAAAGGGTGCCACGGCACCAAGTGCAACAACCAACAAGGGACAGGACACATTTGAGGTTCACACCATGCAGTAGGAGGGGGCAGCTGGAGCTGTCCACAGAACGGGGCCGGGGGGGGGGGCTCAATCGCACACTAGGCCCGGGTGGCAGCCCTCAGAAAGTTGCTTCTCTAGTCAATGAAAAGGGGGATGCTCTTCGGCGGGGCCGGACTGGCCGATCGGGAAAGGGTCACCGGGCGGCAGCCCCTTTAGCAGGAGCACCCGCTCTCCGTTACCGGCTGCTCAGGCGGCTTCTCTAGTTTGATGTCGATCACTGGAGGCGGCGAGTTAAGGAAGGCAGCCGGGGCGCTGAGGAGGCGGCCGAAGGAAGCCACGCAACGTACCACGCCACACCGTGGTTCAGAACGAGGAAAGCAGGTCAAAGGGGAAGGCCTTGCAAATCACAGGGGGGAGGTGGCGGGGACGGCGTCTGCCAGAGCAACCACCCCCCTGCTACCCCAGATGTCTCCCTCTGGAAACCGTTTGATGCAGGCAAGCCAGGAGGCAGCACAGGAGCCATTTAATTCGCGGTTCTGCGCAGGGTGCAGAGGCTGGCGATACGGACGGGAACGGCCAAGCCTCACCCGGGGGTGGAAAGTGCCATCAAGTCACAGCTGACTTACGGTGATCCTGCGGGGTTCTCGGGGCAAGAGGCATTCAAAGGCCCCACTTGCTACACACCCTGTTCTTACTGGGGAGGAGTGGGGTTAGAATAACCTTTTGCTGATGTTCCCATTAGGGGATTCAGTCAGCGAACGGAGCGGATATGGCCGTGCCTTGTGTAAGTCAAAATACGGGTGGCAGAAAGATACTGGAATGTAAAGGACAATTTAATTTGCTTTGACAGTTATTGAAAAGTTAATGATATTAGAAGAAAGTTAACTATAAGAAAACAATAGGTGAGAGAAATGTTACCTGTAGATTACGATTAAAAGATAAGGGAAAATAGAAGAAAATTTAAGAAATGGGTGGAGGTTGGAGCACTGTGGGAAGCCAAGGGGGGGGGAGAGTAATAGAAGAAAGGATGTATAACAGCGAATAATATAATCTGTATTTGACTTAATAATATATCCTAATAGTTTTTTGGGGGGAAAATACGGGTGGCAGAAAGCGTCGAGTCACAGCGGGCTTATGGGAACCCCGCGTGGTTCTCAAGGCAGACAGAGGTGGCCTGCGAAGCAACCCGGGACTTCCCTGGTGGTCTCCCATCCAAATACTCACCAGGGCCAACCCTGCTTAGCTTCTGAGATCTGACAAGATCAGGCTCGCCAGACCCATGCAGGTCAGGCTAATGGTTACCGGCCCACCTTCAGGACAGCCCTCCGGCACAGCTAGTTGCTACATGGGGGCGGGGGGGGGGGGAGGTCGAACTGCAAGGACCGCCAGTTGCCAATAGTTTCCTGCATGTGTCACAAGCGACACAATGCGTCTCCTTCTGATCAGGCGCAAAGAGTAGAGCTGTCTCCCAAAGCCGTTTGGAATGGCAGCTCCTCCTTCCGTTTTGATCAAGAAGAGACGCGGCGAGTGGTCTAGCGGCATCTTTAAGACCGGCCAAGCTTTATTCAAGGTGTGAGCTTTCGTGGGCAAGCACACTTCTTCAGATCTGAATCTGTACGGTGCCTTGGCCCTCGGGATTTGTCGGGCAGGGTAAGGCAGGGCTTGAAGGGCCAAGGTGCCCCCGTGCCAAACGTTTCATTGCACAAACAAAAGGAATTAACTGTGCGGGGCGTCAATACCAATTTCAAAAAAAGTCAAGAAATAATGAGAGAAGATTCATTGATAGACAAATAAGCGAACCATTTATACAATTGTCAAATCCCAGGCAAAATTATTCATACAATACACAATTCATCACCAGGGCATACATGATTAAACGCAAGTCCTCCATATGGCTCACAACGTCCAAAACATTCCAAAGTGCTCATTCCCTCCTCATGAACAAGATGCTTCACAGTGTAAAAGGGGGAACAACGAGCTTCCAGAAGATATCTGCTCCAACAGTTCCAAAAGAGGAACACTTGAACGGCTCCAAAAGAACTATGGGATTGCCGGCTTCCTCAATATGCTCCGCGTTTCAGCAACATGGCTTCATCAAGTTGGAACCAGTGACTTGCAGGATATCACTGAAAAGCAGGCTCGGCGTATTCAATTTCAGCATATTCAATATCAATTTCAAAAGGGGCTACGCCTTCACAACACTCAATAGTCTCACAGACATACTGGCAAAATGCAGAGCATATTGAGTTCTTTCGGAACTGTCCCAGTGTCCCTCTTTGGAACCAATGTACATTGTATGAATAATTTTGCCTAGGATTTGATCATTGTATAAATGGCTTGCTTATAAATGAATGTTCTCTAATTTATTTATCGATTGTTGAAACTGGTATTGACACCACACATAGTTAATTCTTTTTGTTCCTATACATACTGTGTGTGTCACTATCACATTGGAGAAACATTTCATTATAGCATGTAGTATTTTCATCAATCATTTATTGTAAGGGTCTCTTGGTGATTCTCATCAGAAGTGTAAAGCTTACTTAGGGGAGGGACTGGAGGTTAGCTTTTTGTTGTGATGACAACCAGAGTTATCCCACATATATTCATAGACTACAACACTTTTGTGATAGCTCTGGCTGTGGCTCAGTGGAAGAGCCTCCGCTTTGCATGCAGAAGGTCCCAGGTTCAGTCCCCGGCATCTCCAGTTAAAAGCAACAGGCAGTAGGTGATGTGAAAGACCTCCACCTGAGACCCTGGAGAGCAGCTGCCAGTCTGAGTAGACAATACTGACTTTAATGGACCAAGGGGGTCTGATTCAGCATAAGGTAGTTTCACGTGTTCAAAAAATGACAAGCAACTGTGAGGAGTTTAAAGTAAAGGTAAAGGTTCCCTTGCTCGAAAGCCAGTCGAGTCCGACTCTAGGGTTGCGGTGCTCATCTCCGTTTCCAAGCCGAAGAGCCAGCGCTGTCCGAAGACGTTTCCGTGGTCATGTGGCCGGCATGACTAAACCCCAAGGAGCACGGAACGCTGTTACCTTCCCACCGAAGTGGTACCTATTTATCTACTTGCAATGTCTTGCTTTCGAACTGCTAGGTTGGCAGGAGCTGGAACTAGAGACGGGAGCTCACTCCGTCATGCGGCACACCCGGGTCTCGAACTGCTGAACTACCGACCTTCCACAGCCTGCAGTTCAGCGTCTTAACCACCTGAGCCACCGCAGCTCCGTGAGGAGTTTAGGAATAAGGTTTTGTGCGGAGGCAGTGATTTGAAAGTGTGGTCAGTAAACCCTGAAGGCTGAAAAATAAGTCTGGCTCCTACAGCCAAAGGAAATTGGTCAAGGCCTGAGAGAAGGATACTGTCGTCTTTGCTCTTCTCTGGAGCGCTGTCCATCCCTGGTAAGGCAGCTGCCACACGCCGGAAAAGCTGAAAGGCAACATGAGATGGAGGTGAGATCAGGACCTGGGGAAGGGGGCGCATTTGGCAAACACAAGAAAATACACGAAAAAGAGGTTAGCACACACACAAACAATGAATGCACAGATGTCAATGCTGTGGGTGATTTGCACAAAGAACAGCTAAATCAGGAATCAAAGCTGCATCTGGCCTTTTGTTAGCAGCTCTGACGGAAAGGAGAAATTGATTCATTACATGATTTGGGAATATAATCATTCTCAGCCAACCAAGTCCAGGATTCAAACGCGCACTTTTGTGAAAAGGCAACAAAGCTACACCAAGCAAGAAAGATTAAAAAATCCAGACATGAACCTCTGGGAAGTTTGGCACTCTGTTGCTGAGGGAGAGCCAGAACACACTTTTAACAGTGTCGACAACTGCAGACTTCAAGCATGTAGAAGCAAGGTCCTTCCCTTTCCCAAAAGAGAAACAGAAGTGCAAGCCACAAACAGGGAGCCATGCTGAGCGCTGGAATTACAAGGGATCGGGCATTTTGAAGAAATACTTTAGCTCTGTGAGATCCTCATGAAAGGAAAGCTCTTTATTGCCAGTGAGGTATATAGAAGGAAAAGAATCTAAAACCGGATGTGGAGGAGGAAGAAGAGGAGGAGGAGTCCTACTCACAGGACTCAACAAGCCAAATTTCCTCATCATCAGAATAATCTGAATCGGAGAAAGGAGCGGCCGCTCCCAAACTGCAGAAAACGAAGAAATCTAAGAAGAAAAGACTCTAAAACTAAAGCATGAGTAATTTTAGCAGCAATTGTGCCAAGCTAATAATTTTATATTTGTATAATCGAACTAATCTCTGTATAACCTGTATTAATAGGTTAAAAAGATCTATTCTTTTAGCTTTTCAGATCGTGATTTGTATTAGTCTTTACCCTATCCCCATATCCAGTAGGAGATTTAGAACAGAGTGGTAGTTTTCCTTCCCCTATCCAGTAGACTTTATGTATCTAGATCTCCCTGACCCATTTCCCATAGTAATAGTGATAGGGCATTAGTATTCCTTTCCACATCCCATATTTGTAGTGTGTAGAAAGTGCAAAATAAAAAAATCCCCCTTCAGGGGGCCAAAAAAATATATATGAAAGGAAAGCTCTTTATTGCTAGTGAGGTATAGTGGTCACAGTGCAAGACTGGGAGATCCAAGCTCGAACCCCCAGTCTGCCATGGAAGGTTGCTGGGCGACTTTGGGACAGTCACATTCTCACTTAAACTTCACAGGGCTGTGAGGATCGAACAGAGAGGAATTCTGCAAGCAGCTTTGGATCCCTCCCCACTGGGGAGAAAGTCAGGGTATAACTGGGGTAAACAGAACAATTTAAAGTCTATTTAAAAAAAAAAAAAGAACTACTGACACATTTAATATGTAACAGCAAATAGGACAAGCCATGTCAGTGTCACTCAACAAACCTACGCCGGCAGCCACAAGAAGAAAACCACACCCCATTCATTCTTGTGCACCTCTTAATTGACCCTGCAAAGGGATACTGGCCCTCTGTGTCTGGGGAGCAAAGGTCACGGCACTGCAAATCGGGACCCCAGACAACTGGCATCCATAAATGCCACACTGTAAGTTTGTTCCAAGGTTATACTAATTCTGCAACAAGAAAGGCTCAATTTGGCATCTGGTTCAAATCCTGCAAGTTTGCCAGCATTTTGCTGTTGTACGCTAGTCATGGGGAAAGGCCAAGAATTGCGCTCTGCAGCACAGACCCTGGACGGCTGATACGGGCACGGCCCCCAGCTTCTTAAGAGCACTGGTGAAAGGCCAAATTAAAAGTTCACTTTGGGGGGGAAACGTACAGAAATGGGAACCTATATACACTGCTGGATGGATTGTCCCAAAATTGCAGTATTTTGGGATCAGGTATTAGTTCATGTAAGAAGTATTACAGGACAATCAATAGTTAGAAATCCTGAATCGCTTCTTTTGAACGTGCACAATGAAAAAAAAATCGCAATAATATATATATATATATATATATATCTAATGGAAAAATAAACAGATACATTGAGACCATCGTATGGTTGCCAATTTTAACGTATCTTGGTGACCAAAAGGAAATACCAGATGTGATAAGATACATTTCACTTATGGTGATTACTTCCTATATTCATACAACCCTGTAAAACACTATATGTTCTTTCTTTATGCTAATATAATGTACTTCAGTTTCTTATACTGTTATTTGGTTATATCTTTGTAATGCTTGCTGAAAAATTAATAAAATGCTTAACATTTTTTTTAAAAAAATAAAGCACGGCCCAAATGAGTTCTGTTTTATTATTAAGCCGCTGTCAGGGACCTGAGCAACCCCCAGGCTCCCCTGCTCGGAGGGAAGCCAGGGACACCCCCTCGGTGTCCATGCATCAACACAGCAACACGCGTGGCCCCTTTAAGGCAGAACCGCCTGCTCCATTCCTGAATAAGCACTGGCCCTTTAACAGCCCACTGCCCGATCAGCAGAGAAATGAGATGAAATGTAGCTGGGATATGAGGGATGGGGGGGTGCAGCAGATTCCCACAGGAATTGCTCAGGTCCAAGGGGAGTCTCAGAGGGACCAGCCCCAGGACAAGCCGGGCCCTTCCTAAGGCAAAGAGGTCAAGGAGGACACACTGACTCTTGCTCCTGAGGCTGCAGGGTAATGAAAGAGGTGAAGAACCAGGATAACGAAACCCCCTTCCCTCACAGTCTGAGGCCTGTGGAAGGGTTACACTAGTGGCCCCCTGCTGGCAAAGATCTGCCGGGCCTGGGCAAGTCTTCTGCCACAGCAATTCCTCACAGATGCTGTGTAGCTGCAGGGAACTCCAGTTGGGTGGAGTCGGGTTCCTCACACCCAACCCTTAAACAACAACAACAACAACAATCCCCCCCCCCCCCCCATAAGTCTGCGGAAACCTAGAGTCAAATGCATGCTCACCCTAAAACAAGCATTGCCATCCTAAGCAGACTTACACCCACTGACTTCAGTGGACTTAAAAGGGTATAATTCTGTTTAGGATGGCACTGCAGTTGACTTACACCTGTCCAGCCTAACCTACCTCACAGGGAACCATGTTGCAAGAGGCTTAAAACGGTAAAAGCTCCTTTCACAGGGGGAAGGGGGGGGGGAGAACACTACCATCTGTGGAACAGGTCCAGGAGGGCTAGTGGAGAAAGCAAGAACTCTGTATGCAGCCCTGAGCACCTTCCTCGAATGGCAGGATTTTAAGTAGCATGATTCTAGCAGGAATTACCAACACATTTAATTATATCTACATAGCTGTAAGAGCAAGAACTCTTTTAAATGAAAACAGAATGGCATCAAACCCTGCATGCAACATGAGGGCTGGTGGAGAGAGAAGTTCAAAGTCTCCTTCCTTCCAGAGCTCAGTGCCAGAAATAAGGAAATCTGTTCCCTTTTACAAAGTCCGTGTGTGGCCAAAGAGGGGCTCAGCCCATGGCTGACTGGAAGGGGGAGGGCCCCTCAGAGAAAGAGGCCACACATCTGGGGCCAGACCACAGACGGAATGCCAGGAAAGGCTTCCCTGGGAAGTCAGGTGTAGCCAAAAACCCACTCAAGTTGAGCAAGGCTGGTTTGGCTGCATCTGGACTATTGGGGCTAGCCCTCTGGCTGCGGAGTGCCCGGAGGCACAGTTGGCTCCTAGGCAATGCTCCCTCTAAGCTGTGGAGTCTTGTGAGCAAAAATTCTGCTTTGTGAGCTACTGGCATTAAACTTGTGAGCGAGCAATTTGGCTACTGCACAAATTAGTTTGCTTTGGAGCCATCCTTCCTGAGCTAAGACAAGAATGTGTGAGCCAGAGGCTAAAAAACTGAGCTAGCTCACACTAACTCAGCTTAGAGGGAACACTGCTCCTAGGATGTCTGACACTCACGGGCAGCAGACCCAGATCACGAGGAGAGTGCGCCTAGTCAGCCAACCTGACTCCTAGGAGAGAGACCTGAAACTGGCAAGGCCAAGGGCATGAGGCGGAGAGAGCCAGCAAGAAGGCTGCTGAACTCGACTGCTTCCTTGAAAAACAACTGGGGGCTCTACGGTATCTACTGTCCAAGTCGGGTGGAAGGAGTGCTGGGAGGTCACTTTGTGATTATTGAAATAAGACAGTGCCGCACAGGCCGAGGAGAGAGAAGTTCAAAGTCTCCTTCCTTACAGAGCTTTAATAAGGCCATTATCAGCAGTGCCAGAAACAAGGAACTCTGTGCCCTTTTACAAAGTCTGTGTGTGGCCAAAGAGGGGCTCAGCCCATGGCTGACTGGGAGGGGGAGGGCCCCTCAGAGAAAGAGGCCACACAACTGGGGCCAGACCACAGACAGAATGCCAGGAAAGGCTTCCCCGGGAAGTCAGGTGTGGCCAAATACCCACTCAGTTGAGCAAGGCTGGTTTGGCTGCATCTGGACTATTGGGGCTAGCCCTCCGGCTGCGGAGTGCCCGGAGGCACAGTTGGCTCCTAGGCAATGCTCCCTCTAAGCTGTGGAGTCTTGTGAGCAAAAATTCTGCTTTGTGAGCTACTGGCATTAAACTTGTGAGCGAACAATTTGGCTACTGCACAAATTAGTTTGCTTTGGAGCCATCCTTCCTGAGCTAAGACAAGAATGTGTGAGCCAGAGGCTAAAAAACTGAGCTAGCTCACACTAACTCAGCTTAGAGGGAACACTGCTCCTAGGATGTCTGACACTCACGGGCAGCAGACCCAGATCACGAGGAGAGTGCGCCTAGTCAGCCAACCTGACTCCTAGGAGAGAGACCTGAAACTGGCAAGGCCAAGGGCATGAGGCGGAGAGAGCCAGCAAGAAGGCTGAACTCGACTGCTTCCTTGAAAAACAACTGGGGGCTCTACTGTATCTACTGTCCAAGTCAGGTGGAAGGAGCACTGGGAGGTCACTTTGTGATTGAAATAAGACAGTGCCGCACAGGCCGCCTCTCATTCAAAGCCACCCGTGAAAAGCTGGGACCGTGCCCAATGTCCAGTTGCTCTGAACCCCTCCCCTGTATCGCGGGTATCCCAGGAGGGCATGCCCACGCCCACCATGTCAACATTATCCTCCCTTTCCAAATGGAATCTATGGCTTACTGTAGCTTTTTAAAAAACAAAACAGAAACTCAAGAATACTGATTGGATAAGCCAGACAGGAAAATGAGTATTCCATGAATGGACACAGCCATGAGCTGGCTTGGAGAAGAACGGGGGGAAATCTAGAGTTCACTCTTCGGATGCAGTGCCAGGTTACCTGTTTCACATTGTATCCAGTCTTTGCACTAGTCTCAATAAACATCACACTCAGTTCTTTGGCTCTCTGTTCACCTTCTTCTGTAGTAATTTGCCTGAAGAGAGAGATGCAAATGGGAGAGAAGGTAACAAGGCATTAGACCTAGAAGGAGGCAGAGGCGGCGGAGGAGGAAGGAGGAGGAAGAAGAGGAGGACCCATCATTATAACCCCCACCCCCGTTTCCTATCAGGACTAAACGACCATCCAGTCTCCAAACTTTCATAAACTACCCCCATCTCAGCTGCAAGAGACCACCTCACAATACGAACAGAGGAGAGGAAGATACTGTTAACTACATTGGTGTTTAATCTTAGAAAGAGCCTCCTACAGCTATAGCCAATCGAAGCTGTTTTCTTATATCCACAAAGCTGATTAAGCTTCTCAATCTTTCAGTTGCACATGGAGCAAAGAAATACATGCTAAATAACCACGGATGCTGCTGAGAGAGACACAGCATCCCCCACTTGTTAGGGGACAGCTGAAACTGATCTTGCAGTAGACTTTATTTGGGAAAACAGATGAATCACCTGGGTAAGACAAAAGGCTGGTTCAGTCAAATCTGAACTCATGATGCACATAAGCTAACAGAACACTTCTGACACCCTCTGGAACTTTGCAATTATTTATTTATTTATTTTATTCAATTTATATCCCGCCCTCCCCGCAGCGCAGGCTCCGGGCGGCTTACAAAGAGGCATGCGCCAATATAAAAACATATTTAAAATCATTTAAGATCACTACAATACAAATAAAATCACATTAACCAATTACTAAATAAAGTGCTCTAGAGGTTATTTCCCAAGATGGCGTATTTCACTGCTCTATTTCCACTACTTTGTTCCTCAGCATAATCTGCTCCGGGAACCACTGATGTTCCCTCTTCCAGGGCCAGGTTAAGATGGACAATAGTGATGGTAGTGGCGGCTCCTACTCATACGCCTGGTGGAAGAGCTCCGTCTTACAGGCCCTGCGGAACTGTACAAGGTCCCGCAGGGCCCGGATCTCCACCTTTATTTCCCTTTATTTCTGCCAAGACTTGAGCCTTTGGTTTCAACAGCTGCTTTTAACCAAGGGCAACAGCTACACAAGAGAAGCACAGTTCCACCTACTCCCTTCCTGATGTGCTGCAGCTAAAGGCATTCCTCCACATCATGTTCAGCCATTCCTTCCCCAAGTCTGATTTTCTGGCCATACTGTCTCAAACTTCAAATAAGTTTTCCACGAGGCACTACAGCTTGCAGTTCCATTTACATTTCAGGTCATGATTACAGTCATTTCTTTTTCAGAGCTGAGCCTGCTCACCAACCATCTTCAGAAAGAGCACACAATTCAGCAATCCCTCCTGAAAACACGGACTAAGGTCCATGTGCTACATATGTAGAAAGGCTTGACAAGTGGCTGAGAACGTGGACATTCGAGCCATAAAGATTTGACTGTCTAGGAATGGTACAAGGCCGGGGAGGGGGGGCGCTCCCTCAGCTTGACCCCAAATCAAGAGCTTATTTCTGAGCTCTGTTCCATACAGACATGTTTGCTCCCTAACTATTCAAGGTGATCTTCTGCTTTACTAATGCAAGAACAGCATGAAAACCTGGGGAGGCAGCAGGAGAGCAAGCAAGCAAGCAAGCAAGCTTACGGTCCTTAGAGAGCAGAATCGCATTTGGAGAAGAGGCCACCACTGACTCTCTAGGAGTATCAGCCTAATGTTCTGAGAGACTCTTCTTAATTACTCATGGGGAGGGGGGGGGGAACGCCTCGTAACAACCGTCCTACCAAGGCATCCTTAGGTGCCTTTGGCTGCATTATGACCCGCCCGTTTCACTGCAGAAGAGGACCAGAATGGAGCCCCTTTGCACTGAGCCTTTAAAAGTTCTGCCAAGTCTGCCTTCTGCTTCCCCAAATTACCTTTTGTCCGCAAGGTCGGTCTTATTCCCCACCAGCATGATTATGACATCACTTCCTCTCTCTGTTCGCACATCGTCAATCCATTTGGAAGTTTGCTGGAAGGAATTCAGATCTGAGGGGGGGGGGAGAGAAAGAACCCCAGAAAGGGCAAAGCTGTTATCTTTTGCAAAAACAGAATGCTTGTATACCTCGAGGACCTTACAAGTTTGCAGGCACGACACACGGCAAGGCCAAGCTGTTTGCTTGTAGTCAAATGACGTGGAGTTCTGTGCGCTAACCCCGTCTCAAGAGGAGCTTTCTATACATGAAACAAATCACTCACTTGTAATGTCATAGACTACCACTGCAATAGTTGAGTCACGGATGTAGCTGGGAATGAGGCTACGGAATCGCTCCTGGCCCGCTGTGTCCCAAAGCTGAAGTCGGACCTGCTGGTACCAGTCCAGGGAGGAACGGAAAGACAAAGACAGAAAAGAGAGAAAACTATTCTTTAGAGGGAAGGCCATTAGAAAGAATTTCATTAGCCCTGCAAAGATGTGCCCTGCAGAAAAGAACTCTGAACACACAGACGGGTCAAGCAGACAACCCGGCGGAGAGAAGGGGAAAACCCACCCCGTAGCATGGGGCTGGAACCTGTGGATCCACTCTGCTAACAGTGGCACTTTCGTGTGTTGCAAGAGGCTTAAAAGGGTAAAAGCTCCTTTCACAGAGGGAAAGGGGGGGAGAACACCACCATCTGTGGAACAGGTCCAGGAGATCTGCCCATGGAGCATTTTTGCTACCACAGAGCCAACTGCTGCCTCCCATCTCCCTAAAGAAGGTTATCTACCCAGACAATGGAACCAATACTGCCAGTTTGTCCAGGGCACTCAACTTCAATCTTTACGTCCTGGAGGACAACAGTTAAGTGTTCTGGGATCACTGATCTGAGCAGGTAAAGATGAATGCCTGTAGGAAAGCTGTGTTCTTCTAAAAACTCTTCTATGGCTCCGATCAGACGCAGAAGTTGCTGTGGAAGCGGCACGAATGCCGGATGGATTATAAGGGCGCGATCACATAGCAACATCTGGCCAGCATAGCGCACCTGTCGCAGCCGGCCGAAGATGCGGAGTAAAAAGCTACCTAAATGAGGAGCTGCAGTGGCTCAAGTGATTAAGACGCTGAACTGCAGGCTGTGGAAGGTTCAGGAGGTCGAGACCCAGTGCCACATGACGGAGCGAGCTCCCGTCTCTAGTTCCAGCTCCTGCCAACCTAGCAGTTCGAAAGCAAGAAATTGCAAGTAGATAAATAGGTACCACTTCGGTGGGAAGGTAACAGCGTTCCGTGCGTCTTGGTGTTTAGTCATGCCGGCCAC